CCTATGGGTAAAGACATCTAATTCCTATGCCGAGCATAGATCTTGAAGCGACCCACAGTTCAAGCCATAGGGGCCCCTGGGTCGTTTTCTGGCGGCACAGCAGTGGAAGTCTGCACGAAACCCTAAATCCCACCCTTACTTCCATTCTGACTAACCAAACCGAGCAGGAGGGCAAGAGGTGACAAAAAAAATACCTTACTTCCTAAACCATAAACCCCTTTATTCAAAGACGATGTAGTTTATCGTGAATCGTATACCCAATAGCACATAAACTCTTTAAGCACCCAACAGTGACCTGCAGTGAAACCAGCGGCGAGGCCATCGACTCCATGATTGCCGAGCAGTTGCATGCAAAGCCGGACACACTTCAGGTCGGCTCAGGGTTTCACGGTTGGGGGTCGACCTTAACCCCAAATATTCGACTCGTTTTAAGAGTTATACGAGGAAATCATAAGAAGGAGCCCTAAAACGGTAGGTATGTTTAGGGTCCAGGTAGGGCTTGTAAGGGGTTTGTGACCGTGAGGATCTCTGTGATGTTTCGCTGGCTTGCCTTTTTCCGCTGTCTCGCCTTACATCTTGAAACCTCGCTGGTCTCGTGGGACGCAAAACAGGCAGTCCCTGAAACCGGGGATCATCGAAAGCCCTGCAGTGCCCGACAGACTGCGATCGGAACTGTGCTCTGACTCCAAAAGCGCCTGAAGTCACAACAAGGCTCCCGAGGTGAAAGCGGTACCAGCCCCAGACGCAGCTCTAAACTCCGGCCCGAAAATAGTGGCCCTTAAAGGAATCCATGAAGGACCCCTTAAAGGAACCCTACTATAGAACCCTATGGTACCCTTTGAAAGGGGATCCTATGAAAGAGCCCAGCAGTACCCCGCAAAAGAACCTTAATCCCCACTTATTTAAACCCTGAACCCTAAACCCTAAAGCCCTTAACCCTAAACCCTAAAACCTAAAACCCTAAACCCCGAACCCCTAAAGCCCTAAAACCCTAAAGCCCTAAAACCCTAAAACCCTAATGTCAGGTCTTCGATTCATCCGCCTCTGTTGAGGCGCCCCCGAGATTCGTGAGATCTCAAAAACTACGGGGGTTTAGGGATTTATAGGATTCAGGGTTGAGGTGTTTAGGGTTTAGGTGTTTAGGGTTTAGGGATTTTTTTGGATTTAGGCCTTTGCGGGTTTAGGGGTTTAGGGATGTATAGGATTTAGGCATTTGCGGGTCTAGGGGGCTTAGGGATCTAGAGGGTTTAGGCATTTTGGCGGGTTTAGGGGTTTTAGGGATTTAGAGGGTTTATAGGGTTTAGGTGCTTAGGTTTTTTTGGGGCTTTGGGAAGGCCCCATTATCGTACCAGTATGGTACTCTCAGAGGTACCCTTACAAAGATTTTAGGGGTGCGACGGTTTTTGTCGGGTCTATGCAAAGGTTAATATAGGGGCCTTAATAATTAGAATAGGTGTTGGGGGGTTCCTTAATATAATTATAGCAAAATGAGCCCCAAAACCCTATTCTAATTATTAAGGCCCCTATATTATGGTCTTGTGTTAGGTTTTCTGGGGTTGCCGGTCGTAGGCAAAGACCTCGCAACCATCCAGAGCTGAAGAAGAGTCCGGGTTCTTACTGACCCCCTCCAGAATGTCTGGCCTCTAGGACATTTTGAAGGTGGGTAGCTACCGTTATAGGAGCCTTTTTTGACGGTTTTACAAACCTTTTTGAAGCCTCATGGAAGCCCTATATAACCCTAGACTCCCCACCTGTAGTGTCCTTGAATGGCCCGCCTAAATCCGGAAGTGGCTGGCTGTGGGGATGGAGGACTCTTCGGGCCTTCACCTGAAGGCTTGCGACTTTCCCTTCTTGAGGTTACGGGTCCTGCAACAGAAGCTTCCAGAATTCCCGTTAAGCCCTCATTGTAGGCACGCCGTGACAAGGCTTGAGTACCTTGTACAAGAACTCCGAGGCCTAGAACGTAAGATTGTAACGCCGTTGAAGCATAACCCGTAAACCCTCATATTCAACACCTCTGGATTCCTAAACCTAAACCTTATGAGGCCCTGAACCCTTCGACTTCCGCCTGGAACATGAAAGAAGGGTTTTTAGCCACACGAGCCTGGAGCACAGATTGCTTTGCGGTCCTCCTTTGGGTCTATAAGTCTTGGAGCACTTGGAGGAGTCGGGGGACGTAGTATTTATATCAGTGGGATGTAGTGTTTAGTGTCTAGGGTTTAGGGACACAAGCAAGCAGCTAGACTTAGAACAGGTGTACTGCAGGTGGCAAGATCTGGCCTGCGTTTTCGAGAGGAGCTTTCATACTCAGCCGCCACAATTCTCGCCCATGTGGTTTAGCACTCCAACCGGCTCTATACTTTCAGAGTTTGGCGCTTTACTTACGAAGCACACGAGGTTCCACACTTGGCTTTTTGGCGCTTGCATGGTCTAATGCTTTGAACAGAGTGTACTTGATTATACTGAATTAAGCCCCAAGCTATTGGTTATTTCTGCCCAGATGGTCAGCTACAGGACCTACGTACTAAACCCTAAACCCTAAACGCTAAACCGAATCTCCTGCACCGTAGGGCACGATGCTGAAGCTCCGTGGTCCTCCACGTAAGCTTCACGGCAGGTCACAACAGAGAAGTTTGAGTCCGAGGACTTCCCAGGACCTTGGCAGATCTGTGGGAGGGCCGCATCGCAAGGGCTCCTTTTGCAAGGGTTTCCTTTTTGATTCTGCAAGGGGCGCTAGAAAGTTAGGGGTTTCGCAAGTGTCTAGGCGTTGTTCTGAATTGGTAAGGGCTCGGGGTGTAGGATTGAGGTTTGGCTTTGGGTTTCAAGGTCGGCGTTCGGCATCTGGGGCTTAGGCTTCAGGGTTCAAGCATACGGGGTTTAAAGTCTAGGGGGGTTAAAGTTAAAGATCAGAGTTTTGGGTATGCGGTTGTGAGCCTAGGGTGCAGTAAAGGTCTGTACTGCTATGGGTGCAGTCTTCTTGAATAACACGAAAGCTAATATCAAACAGGAACTCATTGAAGGAGGGGTGTGGCCTTCGCACGCAAGCCAGTTCAATTAAGCTCAAGCTTAGGCATATTTGGGAGATGTTGGTTGAACGTGCGAGGTATTTGCAAGATTGTCTGACAGAATTGCTGAGAAGATTCCTGAGACAAGTAGGAGTGAGTAAATAATTACCGGCCAGGCTTCCATTTAGAAAGCCTCGGAGCATGCTCAACTTCCGCATTCGGCTGTGACATGGCTGTGGTTGACCTATCCAAGCGGAGCTAAAGCTAACACCCCGAATCCGAGATCCGCTCCATCCCTAACTTCCGAAGACTCAAACGTCAAAACCCCTGTGGGAGACTCATCTTTTGAAGGAGTCATCGAAGTGCGGCGACGCCACTACTTCGACGCTTGCAGCCTCAGTTGTTCTTCATGGAGCAGTGCTGATGCCCGTACGGTTCAGGTCGTAGGGTTTGCATTTCGGGCTCTGTTGGGTGTAGGGCTCAGGGCTACCTGTGGAGGTGTCCTGGCAGACATCAAGGGTTCGTTTGGGCGCGCATCTGCTGCGATTGGCTGAGGCCATTGTGAACCAAGAAGCTGGCAGATCCACCCTGTCCACGGCTCAGGTTCTTGTGCACATCAGGGTTTCGGGTTTGGGGATCAGACAGGGGAAAAAAACCTAGAATTTAGGTTGTCCTAAACCCTCAAACTCCCCAAACCGGCTTCGTGGTTCAGGTAAAGTTTAGGGTTGTAGGGTTGTAGGGTTTAGGGTTTAGGGTTGTAGGGTTTAGGGTTTAGGGTGTTGGGATCAAAGATAAGCAGTTGGGGGGGGGGTTGTTGAACCGAGGCCGAGCTCGAGAGCCCCCAGGACCCACAGTTAGAGGAGCTCCAAATCCTTCAATGTCAAACTTACCAGACACCATGCTCTCCCCCTCTCTCTCTCCCTCTCTCTCTCTCTCTCTCTCTATCTATCTCTCGATCTATCTAGCTATCTAGCTATCTATCTAGCTAGCTATCTATCTAGCTATCTATCTAGCTAGCTATCTATCTATCTATCTATATACATACATACATACTTTCATACATACATTTATTCTCTGGACCTTGAACCGTTGACCCCAGGTCACAGATTGGCATGCCAGCTGAGCGACCTTTTCAGACTTCCGTGCTGCCAGAAGACGACATGCCGGCCTCTCAGGTATGCCTTCTTATACAGTGCCGCCAACAGGCTAACAAGAACAGCAGGCATATGACTAGTACATGTCCGTATGCGTGAAAGTTTGAATGAAATGCACGTATGTGTGCACACATGTATATATATATATATCTATCTCTCTCTCTCTCTCTCTCTCTACCGCTCCTGATTACCATTGCACTGTCATGATTTTTATCTTCTTACCATGCTGTGAACATCCAGCTCTTTCTGAAGAGGCCCGTTTTGCTTGAAGCACTCCGGTGCCAACTGTTGTAGTCTGAAGGAAGAAACGTGTGTAGGTTGACGGTTTGAGGACTTCTTGGGGGTCCACAGGGCTTATAGCGCTTATAGAGTTTATCTGGTATTGGCTTCCGCGTTTTGGGCGTAGGGTTTAGGGCTTCGGGTTTAGGGTTTAGGGCTTAGGGTTTAGGGCTTAGGGTTTAAGGTTTAGGGCTTAGAGTTTAGGGTATGATGCCGGTTACTTTATTGTCCTGCATTGTACCATTAATGTCGTGGCGGGCAGCTGTAGTCTTGTGTTGAGAAGTATATTGGCAGTGTTGAACGAAGCAGCAGCAATAGCAACAGCAATAAGCAGCAGCATTGTGTCATGGAGCATGTACAAAACCCAAAGGCATCGTGACGAGAAGAAGAAGAAGAACTTCGACAGTAGCAGAGCCGTCGAAGCGATAGTAGTTCTCGTAACCATTCCAACCCCAAAAAATCCGCAAAGAACCCTAAACCTCTTCCACGCGTTTTGCCGCAACTCCCTCAAACCCCAAACGCCACAACTCCTCCCGCGACATTTGCCACCGCCGCGCCCAGAATGTGGGTCTGGGCCGAGGAGGAGGACTGTGAGCGACTGGGGGTTGAGGCGGGTAGAGTTGAGGATGTAGACGTTTTGGTTGGTGCCTTCTGTCAGGTTCAGGCTTGAAGGTTTGTTGCGGTTGAGAGTGCGCCCTAAGTCCTAATCCCTTTACCCTAAGCTTGAAATTTGAAATTTTGCAGGCTTTGGCAGATTCATGCAGCGGGGTATCAGAGAAGGCACAGGGCACCTTGGATTCGGGTATTAACATGGAGGTATGCAGATTGAGTAGTTTGGAATGTACTTAAACCAATCGAGTATACCCGCCCAACCATCCCCAAAACCCTTTTCTACCTATGCAGGCTCCTCACACTACATGGTTTAGGACTTAGGAAACAGTCTAGGCTTCGGGTTCCCAGAAAGTGTGCATGTTGTCACAAAGCCTAAACCAGGATACATATCTATCTGTCTATCTATCTATCTATCTATCTATCTATATATATATCTATATATATATATGTATATGTACGTATATGTATATATACACACGGATACAGATAGAAATGCACATGCATGTGCATGTATGTGGACGGACTCACATACACATACAGAAGCTGGTATAGATGTGCAGTATATGTGTCTGTATATATGAATACAAATATAAATAAACAACTAAACCAGTAAATCAGTATATATATATACACATACATACACACGTATCTATGGGCACATAAATATACAAGCATCTTTTTTGGTGAAGTCATGCATTTACTACCTTTCTTAGCCTCTTGTCGCGTGGGTCTGAGAAGCACCAGAGGCCCAAGACCCAAGGCCGAAGCACGAGAAACCCGCGAAGGCGAACCCCACATTTAGGGTTTTGTTTCGGGTTTAGGGCTTAGGATGTCTGGTTTCGGGTTTAGGGCTTAAAGGATTTAGGGTAGTTTCGGGTTTAGGGCTTAGAATTTAGGGCTGTAGGGTTAACTGCCACATAGTACAGCCCCTTTGAACGCTATAACTTTAACGTTCCCTCGAGCTTGTATAGACCCTGGACCCCATACACCCCTTAAGTTATAAACCCTAAGCTAGACCTGACCCTAAACTCTAAAACCTCTAAACTGGAAGCCCCGAAGCCTCATCTTCGTCGCCAGGTTCGCATCGAACCCCTCCAGACAGATCCGATCTTGCGGAATTTCCGGGCCATTCCAGCCCCTGCCCTCAGGGGTTTAGGGTTCGTTAGATTGAGGCTTCTCAGTAAAACGCGCAGGTTTTTGTTTTGCTGCGTGCTGCGTGCTCTTGTCCGGTGGTCTGCCTCCTCGTGCTGCATCCAGGCTCCTGAATCCTAAAACTTAAATCCCAAACTGTAGATCCTAAGCAATTAGAGCCAGAAACTCCCTCTGGATGGGTCTAAAGGAAGGTAAGAAGTGACTCATTCATGCTGTGTTCCTGTGCTACGAGGAGTCTTGGTGTGCGAGGATTTGCAAATCGGCAGAGGCATGTTTTCCTGGGAGGACTCTGTCATGTTCACTCGAGCTCGAGGCTCACAGCGAACCTTGCAAAACTTCCGGCATAGATGCCCGGAAGCCTGAAGAATCACCAGTAGTATTCCTTATAACTATACTATACTCCAAAGCTCTAGCCTAACCTGCATTTATGCACACGGTACTTGTTGCACCGAACTCGGTGATCAGGAAGATGGCATAATGCCCCTAGTTCCAGGTCAGGGTGCTAAAGGTCATGCAGCTGCAGGATTTCGTGTAGCTACTAACCCATTCTCCGGTTCCCCCGAACCCCAAACCCCGAAAACCCCAAAAGCCCTGAACCGCACAAACTAGACCCCCGACTGCAACCCTCAACCCTTCTCAAACTCATCAAAGCCTAAATGCCCAAACCCTAAAGGGAGCTCTGCCATGGATCTCGATGCCCTACTCTCCGCGAAGCCCATAGCAGATCTCGATGCAACTGTCCGGAGCTTCCTCGCCAAAGCGCTGGCGGAGGCTGATGCGGAGGACCGGAAGGTTTAGGATTTGGGGTTTAGGGTTAGTTGGGCTTGAGGGTTAAGGACTTCGGTATCTGTTTGGGCGAATCCGGCTTTAAATCCCGAAAGATTGACCTCTAAACCTTCTGAAGCCCAGAACCTTAAAGTCACCCTTTAGTTTTGCGAGGATGTCCCGGAAGTCTTGGCTCCATTCCTGGCAGATGCCGGGCTCGGTGGGGAGGAGGAGGCTACTTGGCCCCCAAAGCAGTGCCAAAGGGCATTTAGGATTTTTTGAGTTTGCACGGGTTCCAAAATTCTGAAGGGTTTAAGCTGTAAGCTTTCCGTTATAGCAGCCTTTCAGCCGTTCCAACTCCTTGTCAACACACAAAACAAACACGGATACTTGGTCTTGTTAAAGCTGCTGAAGGGGAGCCGAGGCTAGGGCACTCTGCCAGCGCTTCGCTATTTCTGGGAAGGCCGCCATACCTTCGAAAATGGCCTCTGGTGGTTACCGTGACCTGGCAGCCCCGCAGTCACTTGGGTCACTCTGTGTCACCGTGAAGGATCCTTGGGTTCAATCTCGGGGATCCTGCTGAATTTTTGCTTTTCGTGGTGGAGTCTTGAAAGGGAGCCCATGAGGCCATAAGATGTGGGGGTTTCCGAAAATAGGGGACCCTAGTACAGTACCCTAACTAGTAGGCTCCTTATTCTAAGGATCCCCAAACTTTAGGGTACCCCTTCTTTAACCGAAGCTCCCATGGTATCCTCAGGATCAGGCAGAGGAGTTGCAGCCCGAGCCTCAGCCGGCTTCTTTGCCCAAAGAGCCCGAGAAGGCTCGGGGCCCCCGGGGCGCCGCGGCGCGCCGCGCCGCCCAGGCGGCCACCGAAGCCGCCTTAGTTCCCGGGGCGATCCTCGAGTTGACTGCTGAAGACGCCCGGCTATAGGGTTGGGGTTTGGGGTTTTGGGGTTTTGGGTTTAGGGTTCAGGGATTTAGAGGTTTGGGGTTTAGGGGTTTAGGGGTTTAGGGGTTTAGGGGTTTAGGGTTTAGGGTTTAGGGTCAGGTCAATGTACGTGGAAGCCCCAAAAACACGTTGAAGTAGCCATACAGCCATGACCCCGGCAGACTATCTTGGGCTTCTCAGGATGGACGGGAGATTTCCAAGGCGCTGAAGAGCTGCGTGGAGCTACGGAGCTGGATGCAAGAAGCATCTGAGCGTGCTGACGTACTGAGCGCCTCCTTCCTAGCCTATGCAGCAGAGAGCTCTCCAGATGCCTTGGAATCCTGGGGCATGCTACTGCGAAACTCTCTGGAGGAAGCGGGCATTGCTACATATCTAAGTGAGGATGAAAATTTGGGAGCTTTGGCGCAGAAGGGAGCTGTGCAACTCGTGAAGCACGGGCTTCTGCGAGTAAGGCAGAAGGTGTCCGAAGTTGGCGATCCTGTGTGGGCTTTCCTCCCCGAAGATCAGGAATGGCACCCTGCTGTAGTGGATGACATTCTACCCAGTGGACGCTTGAAGCTGATCTTCATCGAGTGCCTTTGGTATAGTATAGAAGGCGTCTAGTCTTTTTCAGGTTTTTTTCTACATTCTACCCTCTCTTTATGCGCCAGAACCTACTGCTTTGTTGTAGGCCTTGGGTCTGCAGGTATGGAAAGCCGCAGGAGGCGAAGCAAGAGGAAGTTCGGGCTCTGACAGAAGTGGCAGATGAGGGCGATGCCGGGGAGGGTGAGTGCGAGATGTGCGAAAGGGACTTGAAGCTAACTTTCCACCACCTGATCCCGAAGGACAAGCATCCGACCTACCTTGGTAAGCGATTGCCTAATGGTGTTGAAGGTGAGCCAACCAGATCCTTCTTGAACTCCTATGGTCTCATGATTTGCCGGCAGTGCCACAACACGGTGCACAGCATCGCAAGCAACGAAGTGCTAGCTATAGAGTACAACAGCCTCCAAAAGTTGTTAACGCACCCTGTCATCCAGCGCTGGATTGAGTTTGCGAAGCGACGAAAAGCCAGCAGCGGAAAGTCTCGCTGAAAGACTACTGCGCATCACAAGTCTTAGTATGTCACCCACGCAGAGTGATGCCGTCTAGCCCCGACCATGTGCTGGTTCACAGCTTCTGCCTTCATCCCGGTTGAGGTTGTCTCCAACAGACATGATGCAATATGGCCAGACAGTTGAACTGTCTGTAAGCTTTGAGACGTTCTGGTGGCCTTCATGAACAAGATGATGCTCATGATCGGGGCAAGACAGGATGCAGAATCCTTCCCGGGGGCATCGAAGTGTACAGCAGCTTCGGCAATTTGACCCTTGAACACATTTGTTTCCGGCGCAGTCAGGCGAAACCGTCCACTGAAATAGTTCTCCGCTGTTGGCTTGGCCGGTCCGGGCGTGTGGATATCCCCCATCACTTGCGTATGCCGGCCTGTGATTGTAAGGAACAAATCCTTTGGTTCTCAGTGGACATCTCGCCCCACGCCCGGATTGACTGTGTACAGTCCACCGGTAGCACCTGCAAAACGCAAGCAATGTGCGCGGTTGAGACCTAGTCGCGAAGCTAGGCTTCAGAATTTCGACCAGCCTTGAGAACGCCGTACACATCTTCGCACAGAAGTATGCCAGCAGAACGAAGCTGTGTACTTATATGTGCAGAGATTCCTATATGCATTGGAGACTATTCGAACGAGTGTTCGTGTTCTCTTTTCGAGAGGATGGAGGCAGGAAGGGAGGGACCGAGGATCTTGAAACTTAAGCTTTGGGCCTTCACCCGGAACCCGAAACCCTAAACCCTAAATTCTAAACCCTAAAGCATAAACCCGAAACCCGAAACCCTAAACCCTAAAATCTAAACCCTAGACCCTAAACCCTAAACCCAAACCCAGACGTGAACCCCCAAACCCGGTCCTGAGCCCTGAGCCCTTTACCTCCCAGAATCCCCAAAAACCTCAGGCAACACAGCTCAGGGGGGCACCCCTTGATGAGTTGCTGAGGAAGTATGGCCCGAGCCCCGGGAATTCTCAACGGTTCATCAGGAGGGGTGTTAAAAAGGGGACCTCTTAGGGGTCCTATTTAATTTCAGACTTCCTATTAGGGTCCTGGGGGTGTATGATTACAGCGATAACGTCAAGGGAGCCTATCTCCGGGGTAGGGTTAGGGCTTAGAGGGTTTAGGGAACCCACCCGAAACCAGCACTCTGGCACTCCTCCCTAACTTTAAGATCACTGCTAGAGAACTCTGACTGTTGAGCTTCTTATATAATAAGGCGCTTCACATGTCGCTGCCTTATTTTGAATGCATTCGGATTGATTGTAGTAGTTCTACTGGCAATGCAAGGCTGTCTGCCACTATTAGTTATGGTTGCGTGAATGTTGCTATCTCGTTGTTGCTATCGTCGTTCTTTCTTGTTGCTGCAGCTTGTTGCAGCTGAGTGAGACTTAATGATTGTCGGAATTGCTACTGTTACTACCATTTTATTCCATTTTTGTCTTATCATGTATGGCAACTACGATCTTCATGATTATTAATATCTTTCTTATTAGTGTTATTATTGCTATTATGCTTAGTCTGTGTCATGCTGGTGTATGGCCCTAAACGTTAAAACCTAAACCGCTACCTTGAACCCTGAAACCTTTCTGGAAACTAGCCCTGAAGCCAAATATACAAACATTTCGAACAGGTACAAACCAGCAGTTTCCATCCCACGCAACAGTCCGAGAGGGGACTGCTGCGTGGGATTATTTTTTGTGCTTCGACCCTTGCAATGCACACTTGTTCGGACACACAAGCATTTGTATAGCATACCAAAATATAGTATAGGATAGGATAGTATAGTATAGTATCGTATGGTATAGTATAGTATAGTGTAAGAATAATGGTAATAGTACTACCCATGGTGCTAGTACTAGTAGTAGGTGCGGGTGTCATTTTTGACGCCACGTTTTTGGAGCTGTCAGGACGAGTTTTCAGCGATAATTACAGCACTTTTCGCAAGGCATCAGCAGGAGTGTCGAGGGTAGGATTTAGGTGTTTTTTTCCG